ACACACAACACACACACTCCACCCCCACACACACACACACACACACCACACACACACACACACCACAACACACCACACACACACACACACACACCCACCACACCACACACACCCCCCCCACACCACCACACAACACCCACCCCCCCCCCCCAGACAACACCCCCCCCCCACACACACCACACACACAACCCCCCCCTCACCCACCACACACACACACGCCCCCTGACACGGCCACCACCGCCTCATCACTAAAACATCCTCATGTACAGTTAAAGGCCACGTGAGCCCCGGACGCGCCACGGAACAGGATCTCGGGCGCGAGGGCGAGCGACTGCGCATGCGTCGTGTCGTCTCCTTGCGCTTCCGAGAATAAAAACCCCGAAGAAATCCGATGTAATTTTAGAGCTAATTGCGTGAAAGGAGAGTGGAAAAGGAGGGAGGGAAGGAGGGAAGAGAGGGAGGAGGGAGGGAAGGGAGGGGGAAAAAGAGAGAGAGGGAGGGGGAGAGGAGGAATGGAGAGAAGAGATAGATCGATAGAATAGAGTGAGAGAGAGAGAAATATAGACAGACAGATAGATAGATAGAGATAGAGAGATAGAGAGAGAGAAGAGAGAGAGAAAGAAAGAAAGAATACAGACAGATATATAGAGACAAGGGCAGATCACTGACTGATAAACACAGACGAAGAAGAAATAAAACAATTTGGAGAGATAGACAGTGAGATAAATAAATAGACAGACAGACAGATACATATATAGAGGGAGATAGATAGATAGAGATAGAGATAGATAGGTAGATAGATGAGAGAGAGACAGACAGACAGACAAACAAAGACAAAAAAGAAAAAAATATAAAAAAGAAATGATCATGACACACACACGCATACAATTAAAACATAAACAAACAAAAAATCAAAACATAGGCGTTCCACCAGACAGACACAAAGGCAGACACACAGACACGCCTTCCCCTGGACAGACAGACAAACAAAGCAAAAAAAAAAGAAAAAGTATATTAATAATTTTATATAAATATATATATTTATATATATATATACATGATATAAAGAAAAATGATCAGGACACACACAACACACACATACAATAAAAACATGACCAAACAAAAAATCTAAACACAGGCGTTTCCCCCAGGACAACAACAGACATCACAGCCACACAGACAACACGCCTTCCCCCAGACAGACATCACTAAGCCACGACAGGACACACGCCTTCCCCCAGACAGACATACAGGACATCACACACAGACATTCACAGCCACGACAGCACAACGCCTTCCCCAGACCCAGGACACAGACACCACAGCCACGACAGACACACGCCTTCCCCCAGACCAGACATACAGACAACCACAGCAGATAGACACACGCCTTCCCCCAGACAGGACCACACCAGAACACCACAGCCACGAACAGACACACGCCTTGCCCCAGACAGACAAGACACTCACAAAACCGCAGCCACGACAGACACACGCGTTCTCCAGAGAACAAACAACCGACACCGCAGCCCCGACAAACACAGGCGTTCCCCCCAGACAACTGCGAGTCCGCAGACACACGCCATCCCCAAAAGACAGACACTGCAGCCCCGACAAACACACGCCTTCCCCCAGACAGACAGACACAACACACGACACACAAACACCCGCAGCCACGACAGACACACGCCTTCCCCCAGACAGAC